AAGAAAGTAAAACGTAATTCTTTCCTACTTGCACAAATATTGAAGTGTCCACACATCCTTAGACACTAAAATTGGATACCTATTTTGTTAATAAAGAAGGGAGAGTCTGGAATGATGGCTGAGCAGTTAAGAGCTCTTGTGGAGGACAATAGTTTAGTTCCCAGCACCCACACTGTGCAGCTCACAACCACCTGTAACTCCATCTCCAGGAGCATCCAACATCTGTGGCCTCTGCAGGTACCTATACCGGTGCACATACTCACACACACACACACACACACACACACACACACACACACACACACACACACACACACACACTTTAAAATGATACAATAACCTCTTCTAAAAAGGAGACAATGGGATAAGACAAAGAAAGCACCCTGAAAAGCCTCATCTATTATAATTAACTTTCTCTTGAATCAAAACATGAAAGTCTTTGTTTTCATCAGGAAAAAAGGAAAAATAAGCCTTAGATTTCTAAGCAGTGACTGAAGTAATTACAAAGAAAAATTGACACCATTAAAATAAACTTTAAATTTAAAATGATAAAGCTAATGAGCAAAAGAACATAGAAAAGCCATTAGTGTGTGGTTTAAAAAAGTTAAGCAATAAAAAGAATGTAGCAAACAATGGCAATGAGTTAATATCTATCCTTAGGCTTTCGATATGGTCTGGCGGTGGTGGTGCACGCCTTTAATCCCAGCACTAGGCAGAGGGGGGCGGATCTCTGTGAGTTTGAGAGCAGCCTGGTTGGTCTACAAGAGGGAGTTCCAAGAGAGCCTCCAAAGCCACAGAGAAATCCTGTCTCGAAAAAACAGAAAACAAAAACAAAACAAAACAAAAAAAGATTTTCAATATGAAAGCTCCTCACAAATCCTTGGAACTTACTAACTAGACATATCCAAAAGCATCTTCACATCTGCTTGTTTCTTGCCTTCATCCTAGCGCAGCTGCTCATTAGCACTTAAATAACATCAACCAAACAAGAAATAATAAGAATACCAAAAAAAAAAGAATGAGTGCCATCCTACTGAAACAATTATTAATGATGCAACTCAGCGGGAATGATGTTTTATCAAAACAAACTCACTAGTATATTGTTCATGAAGTGTGATTATCTGTTAACACTTCTAAAAGCCAACTGGCAGTCTTACTAAGACCATTATTTTGAAATACTAAATCAGCAACACTTATTCTGAATCAACCCTCAATTAAATAAAGACTTTATGTTGATTGTTAGCGCTCATGAAGCACAGCTTATGCACCAAATATCTATGCTGCACAGGTAAGATGACAATGCTGCTTGCAAATATTGGAACGGATGCAATTCAGTCATAGGGGTTATGGACCACCAGCCCTCTCCATGTTCACTCCAGAAGAAACTGGTCCAGCCAAACAGAAGCATCAAATTACATGACAGTCTTTTCATGATAGAATACTATATATACATTAAAATTAGGCTTATCAACAATCTATCATACTATGAAGCATGCATATTATAATGACTGAAAAGTTTCAACCAAAACTGAGTGTCTATGCTACTTTAATTCTACAAATTGCTCATAGGAAGCATACTAAAAGAGATCACATTAAATACTAGCAGTAATTAACTTTCATATGGCCTTTATTGGAATCTATCCTTTTCAAACATATATTCCACAGTCATTATTCACTACACTAAACTAGTTGGTTCATTTTATCGAAAATATCTGTAAAATGAAATTGCTTCGGGGTCCACAAAATGACTCAGTGGATAAGATCACTTCCTACTAACTCTCAAAATCTGGTCTGTCAATTCCCAGGACCCAGAGAGAGAGAAACTGTTTGTCCTTTGACCTCCACACAGGCACTGTGTCACATAGACACACAACACACACACACACACACACACACACACACACAAGACAAATAAATGCTATAAAAATATTTTTAAGACTACAAACTCCTCAACTGAAGAGATACAATATTCAAAGTATAACTATATATATAGTTCACTAGGCTTTACCAGATACATGAACTGAGTATGGCGATTACTTGAGTATAAACACATTTTAAGAAGAATATAATTAAACTAATTAGTATATTATTATTTACTTTTCCCAGTTAATAGGTTGTAATAGACAGATATTTTATTTCTATAGTTGGAATTTCAGTTTTTTAAATCACTGTTACTAACGTCAAAAGCACATTTCCACGTGTATGGATTTAAGAATCCAGACATGAGTGGCACCTTGGCAAAGGCATGTATGCAAAAGTTGTTATAGGGGTTTAAGAATGAGTGAATTGATGAATAGAAAAAAATAGAATATGACTTAAACTCCTCTAAGAAGCAGAATAACTGGGATTCCAGTAACACAGTACAGACAAATATGCCTTAAGGTATTAAGGTATCCTTTTAAAAGAAAAATAGTCCTTTTAAATTATTCCTTTACTTTTTTGAGATTGTGACATTGCATCCCTTGCTTCCTCTAAGCCCTCCTACGCCTTGTTCTCTTTCAAAGTCATGGTTTCTTTTCTTATTTATTGTCATTACATGCAAATATATGTCTATCCCAAAGACATAAACAAAACCTGCTCAGTTTGTACAATCTAACTTGTATGTGTAAATAGTTGAAGAAAAAAAACAAAAACACAAACAAAAATCACCTATTTGCGTGCATATGTAGAGAGTATTTGCCAAGTTATTTCTCGTTTTAAAATATGTGACATGTAGCCAGGCGGTGGTGGCGCACGCCTTTAGTCCCAGCACTCGGGAGGCAGAGGCAGGCAGATCGCTGTGAGTTCAAGGCTGGGCTGGACCGACAGCCTGCAAAACAATACAGAGAAACCCTGTCTTGTAAAACCAAAAAAAAAAAATATGTGACATGTAGACACCATATCTTTGCTCTTAAGAAGTGCAGCTGATAGCTCAACATAATTATTTGACAGCCGAAAATACCTGCACACTGGTTCTACATGTATGCATACTAGTGGGAACAGAGTACAGAGCTGAAATGGCATGAACACAGTTAATTAGAAAATGGTATGGAACTACTGTGTAAATGAGTTATACATGCCAGATGTGTAACACAGCATGCCAAGTGAATAATGTTTTCTCAGGCCTTAATTTGAATACAGTTATGGTTTACATACCAAAATTTAGCTTAGCACTCTTGGGGTATGTAGACTATGTCAAGGGAAGGATCCCCGGATGCCTATATTCCCAAGTTTTGCAGCCACAGCAGGGACTTCATTAAAATATGCGATAAAATTCTGTGCACCCGAACTAAATTTTGTTTAGGTACATGATGGCTACAGATATGTTCTCATCCTCTCTACAATGAGATCTTTAAGCACTCCAGACAACCCATAGATCAAAGCTCAGCAAACTAGAGCCTTGGGGACCACATCCAGCTTCCCTCCTGCCCTTGTAAATAAAGATTCTCTGGAACATAGCCAGACTCATTCGTTTGCTTATTGCCTGTGGCTACTGTCACATTGCAATTGCAGAGATGAGATGATGTAGCTGGGATCTTAGACCTGTAGACACTAACATGCTTTTTCCCTGTCTCTTCGAAAGAGGTTTGTCAATTTCTGATTTCAAATTAAGCTCGGAAAACCAATTCCTTGATACTTATTGTCTACTCTCCTTTAAGAGCCCCAGTATTTCCAGAGGAACAACAAAATAATAGTGTATGTCAGGTGCTAGAGCTGAGAGTCCTAAATCAAACCTCTCTCTACTTCTGACCACTTAGTGAATTTCTGACACTTTCTGGGCCTCAGTTTGCTCATCTTTAGAGTAAGGATCATGGAAGCATCTTCCTTAAAGAGTGGGTGCAAAAATTGGATGCCTTTCCCTCAGCACAGGACCTGTAACTCATGAAACCAGCAAGAACTGATAATACCCTTCCTGCAATGTATTGACAATTGCACATCCAAATCACAACTACACAAACTCTGTAACATGTCTATGGCTCTGTGGTTCTCCATGAAGGAGAGATTGAGTTGCCCAAGTGCTGGAGTAAATTGTACTTCAGTTACCATATGAATCTGAACTTATGTGGGCTACAGAAATACATAAAATGTAGATCCTCAGATTGCCACACTGTGAAATGCAGGGATTGGAGAGTATATCATCTCAGCCAAGATTTTCTACATACCTCGAAGCTGAACTCTAAAAATCTGCTTAGTATCCATCAGGATATGAGACAACAGGGAACTGGCAACATTGTCCCACAACTGTGACAGTCAACAAGTACACAGATTTTATGTATGTCATTGGCAATTTCTTGTAACTGGAAAGCAGAATAAAACTGCCCACAATGAGACTTAATTGGGTTGAAAGACAATTTAATAAAGTGGCATGTTCCCAGTGACTAGCACATACAGGGAAAGTCCTTGTCTCTTTGTCATTCATGGTTCTCATCCCCATTCTCTTTCCTCTCTCTCCTGCTCCTTGTGAAGGGTGGCCACAGGTATCACAGGAGTGGTTACCATTCAGGTCTGAGACACTTAAGATGGGTTCTCACAAAGGTAGAACAATTAGCTGGATGTTAGAGGCTCAACAGCAGGACTGGTGAGTGGTCGTTGGCTTCTGGAAGGTGTGACGCTGGTCTCCATGTTACCAAAATGCTACTGGAAACAGGACAATATACGAAGACTAGATGAGGCAGATCCCTGAGGACATCATGAGGAGTTGTGGTTTTTTTCCATAAGATATAGGATACCTCAGGAAGTCCCACAATAGGAGAGTAAAATGATAGTGGGACATGACACAAAATAAACCAGGACACAGCACAGAGACAAAATTGAAACCTGGTAGGAGTTGCCATGAGTCACCAGTGCTCTTCCTGGTCTCGAGGCTCCCGAGTGACTTCACAGTATGGTCAAACCCAAATAGCTTTTCCTTAAAAAACATCCTCTTTCTGGAAGCTGTCATTTACTGCCATTTTTAAGAGTAAGGCATCTACATGTGTAGCTTTCAGTCTCAGCACTTTCCATTCAAGTGTCTCACTTACCGAGGAGAGAGAAGGGAGAGCTGTGTTCCTTCCGTCATGAATCACACCGAACGGCACAGTCACATGGGCACCCAAGCCAACTTTTCACACACCAGCCCTTCAGCAAAGAAAAAGAGAGAGAGAGAGGTCCAGTTAGCACATATTAAACTACTGTAGCCTTTGCTTATAAAGGCTAGGAAGTTCCATTGATGCCCAATAACCAGTACAAGAATATCCAGTGATGCAGGAGACAGAGAGACTGTACAGTTGGGTGATCACCAGTGTCAGAAACCCAAATTAGCATTATGGACACCACTTTGTAGATAAACTCAAAAAACAAAAACCAAAGCTGATTGCTTTTTTCCAAGAGTTATTTTAGTTTGAATCCATTTTCTCATGGGGAGGTGTATGTGCCACTGAGTGTGAGTGCCATAGAGGCCAGAGGTTTCAGAGTTCCTACAACCAGAGTTATAGGCAGTTGTGACCTTTCTGATGTGGGGGTTGGGAACCAAACTCAGGTCCTCTGCAAGAACGGTATGCTCTCTCAACTTCAGAGCCATCTCTGCATCCTGAGAAAATAAAAATTTTAGTGCTCTTCAACACATGAAAAAAATCTCATAAAACATCCAAAGGGGCCATTATTTCAAAGTCACTGGAATTACTTCAAGCACTTTGAAAATAAAAATGTGCCCATTTTAATGGCTCCTTCATTGCAAATCTTAGGTAAAAGAACCTAGAATAAAGTGTTTCACTAGATGGTAAAGGTAGTCACAGGCTGAACTACACCCAAGTCTCAGTTTGTGCTGTCACGTGTTCATGTGTTTCCTGCACAGTTACAAGATTTAGTAAGAAGTTATCTGGTATCACAAAATCAATTCACTTCACCTAAAGCCAGAAAATGTTTTGTATCTCCTCATAAATGTATTCTATTAAAGCAGGAGAACCATATTGTAGTGCCAAACATGTACACAAGAGCTTAAAGTGGGTGACTCCCCACTTGTCATCCAAGCAGTCACATGTCTGCTATTGCTGAAGGACGTCTGTGACTTCAAGTGCTACCCCTGTCCTTCCCTTCCACTTATTCATCGTGTCTTTCTCTTTCTCCTCTCAGTTTCTGGCTGTTGTACATGTGAAGCACCCTGATGTTCACTGTCCTCACCCACACGCTAGAGAGCAGCTGTGAATGCTGATGAGAAAATGAGACCTTCCAGAACATTCTGCAACTCTTCCACTCAATGAGCCCCATGTGGCACATGTCATCCATCGATGATCAAAAGCCAACCAGCCTCCATAAAAGAGTCCAAATTTTAATATAATTGTTGGAAGTTTACAAAAAGTAATCTGCTGAAATGCCTTCAAGGGTGTCCTACGTTTCTGGGGACACAGAGCTGGGACATAGTGACAATGCCATTATATGAGGCTTCCAGTTTTCTAGGAGAGGACTGTAGAAAGTATGGAGAATTTGAGAGAAGCAAGGAAGTGACAGCATTTGAAAGTGCTTGCCATGAAGACTCCAGAGTAGCCCAGGTGCAATTCTACCCTACAGCATTGCCAACTCCAAGGCCTCACTAGGCTCTTCATGACCAGTGACATCATCTGTTGGAAGGGATAAGGTACAGATGCAGATCTTTGAGGCCAAAGGAAAGGTGAAGGAGCTTTCCCCGAGGTAACGAGGCATGCTCGGTCGAGGAAAATAATGTAAAACAGTCCATTTATTTTTTTTCTCATCACCAATAATATGTCCTATGGGTACAGCCATAAAGTGCTGATTAGGACATAATATTAAACAGCATGTTTGAATAGAGGAGTTGTTTCTCTTGAGCCCTGCAATCTACTTTATAACAATTACTACATAAATTCTCTCACATTTACATGTCTAGATCATAGTCTAAGTTTAACTAACAGAATTGGAGAGATATACTCATTCCCAATCTGACTCTGTGGCTATGTCTAGTAACTAACACCTGAGATTTTTAAAAATAGGTGGTAAGTGAAGATTTAGCTCAGTGGTAGAGTGCTTGTCTAGCAAGCATAAGGTCCCAAATTCTGTCCTCAACTCTGGGAGGAAAAAACTACATCACAGATTTTCTAACCCCTCTAATGGTGGTAAGACACACCTTTAATCGCAGCACTTGGGAGGCAGAGGCAGGCAGATCTCCATGAATTCAAGGCCAGCCTGGTCTAAAGAACCAGTTCTAAAATAGCTGGGGCTATACAAAGAAACTTTGTCTTGAAAAACCAAATGTCTACATATTGGGCATCCAATCCTTCCCAAGAGAAGTCACAGATAAGTTCATGTGGAGCCTCTGCTGGACTTAGAAATGACATCCCAAGAACAAAGCATTTTGTTAGGCAAAGAGGATGAAACAAAAAGGAATTTGAGAATTAAGGACTGATGGGACAAACAGAGCAGATAATGCAGCAGAGAACATCTCTGCTTTATCTAAACAGGGACAGCCATAGCCAGGACAGCCAGACAGTCCCAAAACAACTCTTCCTGTAAGACCTGCCTCTTTCTCCTCTGGGAACATTCAGCTGTGATAGACAGACCATCTGTGGTTAAGAAAAACACAGCTCCCTTCAGAACCTGACATGTGAACAGAAAGGCCAGGGACAGGATTCAGGCACAATGGGAAAGCATCCTGACTGTGTGCAGAGTTTGCACCAACAGTGAAGGGGGTGTCTACTAGCGTTATGCCTGACGGCTAAGCTAGCAACAGCAAGACCCTTCTCCTGAAGTGATCCAAACAGGCTTTGAACCAGTTAGGGAATCTACCCAACTCAAAGGAACACCTGCCTGGGCAGAGTTGCAAGGGCTCAGGTGCAGCAACTGCAGTAGCATTCCAGCCCTTAGCAGGAGCCACATTCTAGGAAGATTCCTACAGAGGGAGAGGCCCAGCTTGCTTATGGGACTTGATCACCGTGAAGACATAAGTCACAGAGCACTCAAAGATATTCCTGAAAACTAAAGCGAGTCCAAAGTAAAGAGGCTATACTGTCCCAGAGGCATGCCCGCCTGATTTAGCAACATCAGTTTCCCCATTTGTCTCAATTTCTCACTGACATCACTCTTTTCTTTTTTAGATGGTATTGACCTTGATACAAACAATCTCTGAAGTTTAACAGGACCACTATGGGGAAAAACATAAATCTACCTCTAGGAATATGAGTGCAGAATTATCACTAGCACTCTTGTTGATGCACAAATAATGGTTCCCAGAAGTTTCATCTCATGACTACCTCCATGGGTTCTTAAAATGTCTCCATGTGAAAATGACGAAATGAAAGGTAACCATCAATCAGCACGTACTCAGTGCCCATCAGCGCAGGGCTTTGAACATAAATCTGCTTTATTCCCTCTGGTCACCCTGCTCAGCAGGAGGCAGTGCGGATAAATTCTGGTGGAGACCAAAGTCCAGCTAAGCAGCAGCCTTTACTCTACAATTCCCAGAAATAAATTCACATTCTAGGCAGAGTTCAAATTGGGGTTTCCAGAACACGAAAAATCACACTGGAAATCAAATGAAAATAGAAATGAAATAAAAATAGACACACTTTCCACTTCATATCACGGTGACTAAAAGAAATTCGACAAGATGGAGATGTAAAACTAAAAATGGCCAGGCTAGGAGTTCCCAACTTGGAAGGTCTAAGCAGTGGCAACGACTTGTCATCATTGTGTAGGTCCCATAGCATCTGTGTACAACACATCCTGGTGGCCATGTTTACGAAGGAGCTAGAAAACAGTTCAGGAAGGAGTCTCGCTCTCAGGAGATCACACAAAACACTGTATGATTCTTCTGTTACAAAAATCAACAAATACCATGGAGCTGGAGGGAAGGGAAGTTAATGGCAGTGAGGTGTACAGCAAAGAGAAACGTGCTTCTCTCTCAGCATCCTCATCGCAGATCCAGCCTCCCTCTATTAGAGGGGAGTCACCTCAGCACACAGCGGCTTGTACACAATAAACAAGGCTGAGAGCAAACACAAAAGGGAAGACAGAAACAATTTCTGAGAGTACTGCCCAATCCTGAAAACATTTGGGAAGAAAGAAATCCAATTGTTTTCCACTTAGTCTTCCTGGAGATTACCCTTCCGTGAGTACTTGGAGCCAATGGTAATTGCTGACCCTGGAGCCAATGTATTGCCTCAATAGCTGGGATAAAACTAGAGAAAAACACTTGCTACTGAATGCTTCCCAATGGGGCAATGCAGTGAGCTATGTTCTTGGCTGCAAAAAAAGGGCATGGGAATAGACTGAAAGAGAGGGGGCCAAAAATCACTATCGAAGCAAACAAGTTCCCAAAGATCAAGCAATGGTTCAAAATAAGAAATTTTCAAAATTGACTTTCTGAGGACAACAAGGTTTCATAATGGTGGGTATGTCCTTATTTAGGTTACTATATGCCTGATTTTCAAAGACAAGCTTGCTTTTCATGCAGGCAATTCTGAAGAGTTTGCACAAAGTGGTTAATTTGCATGGACAATTGGGCTCTCAGCTTTTATTTTGACAGCTAAATTGATCCATCCTTACAGGCTAGCATCTCAACACTCAGAAAGAGAAGGGAGGTTGAGGCCCCTTCCACACTGTGGTGGCCTCTTTGAGTGTACAGACTCAGAACAACACATCCAACAAGGCTCTGCTTGTGAATGGCAGTTTACAGCAACAGGAGATTCTACCATCAAGCGCCAACTCTACAGGGCTGGGGTTAGAAGTCACTGGTCCAGCATTCACCTAGTATGCACAAGATTAACAAAACTCAACACTGAAAAACTCAACGAAATTCTGCTGAACAGAAAGATAAGAGCAGGATGTGCTCGCGATAACAAGCCCCTGTAAATGTATAATGTGCAAAGCCAGGCATAAGGCAGACAGACATCTGCTACTGGGGGTGCAGAAGGAAAATGGAGGCTTACTTAGCCTTGGGAAGTTGGCTAGCTGTGAGATTTCCAGTGAATTGTGAATGAAATGACAAGTGTTAAATCATTCAGTTCAGCGTTTTCCTACAAAAACAACAAGTAGGAGGTTTTAAAAGATGTTTCTAGCGACAAACTCAACATAGAAAACTAAAAGGATGTTCTCCTTCCACTCAGGGCAGAGCACGACAGTCCAAATCC